TTTATAAAAATGTTTTCTCTCTCCTTAAAACGAGCTCATTTTCTTATATCATTAGTGGGATCGGCCTGGCCGATCGCCACATCGTCCCGGGACGATCAGACCAAAATTGATCGTCCTGGACGACTCCCAGAACTATTCTCAGGACGATATTTTCTACAGTGCAGATCGGCCTGGACGATCTCACTATCGTCCCGGACAATTCAGTCCAGAAATCACTCCAGAGAACATTCCAGAAATCAACTGTTTTCAATACACTGATCGGCCTGGACGATCTCACCATCGTCCCGGCCGATCCTGGGGAAAAATCACTTTTCTCAGCAACTACAGCAAAGGAACGAGGTCTCACAAACCAGACCCCCTCTCTTAGCGTCCTGGAATACTCGCGGGTTTAACAGCCTGTACAAAACTGTTTGCTGCAAGAATTTAGTTACAAAGTTTGACCTTGATCTTCTTTTTCTTTTGGAAACCAGAATTTCAAATCCATTACCCCACAACCCTTGGTTTAACTCGACACACTCTATTTTTTCACATGAAGGCTCATATGACAACTTCGCTTACTCTAATCCTGGAAGAATTTGGATCAAATGGAACTCACTGAAAGTGAGTTTCAAGCCACTTTTTACATCCAGTCAGTTGAAACATGGCACGATCTTTTCGGGAACTACTGAAGTTTATTGCGTATCTGTGGTGTATGCTTCGAATTCTATGGATGATAGGCAGATCTTTGGAAGGATACCAAAGGACCTGTCTAATCTTGCTGTTGGAATTTCTATTCCTTAAATTATATTATGGGACTTTAACTGTTGCAGGTCCACCCATGAGAAAGTCGGTGGTTCTTTACTTACCAGTAGCAAAATTTCTAACTTTAATAGCTTGATTTTCAATATTGTTGTTCATGATCTCTCATTTGTAGGTCATTATTTCACTTGGTTTAATCAAAGGGCCGAAAATCCTATTCATATTAAACTTGACAGGATGCTGGTTAATGACATCTGGCTTGATACTTATCCGAACTCATTTTACATTGTGGACAATCCTCAGATTTCTGATCGAAACCCTATCATCCTGCAATATGATCAAACTCAGCAACAAAAGCATCATTTCCTATTCAAAAACTGCTGGTTGTCGAAACCGGAGTTATGGAATTCTCTCATTCAGGTTTTTTCCAAAAAAATTCACAGCAGCCCAATCTATGCCTTTTTTCAAAAGCTTAAAACTCTCAAGGTCAACATTAAATCCAATAATTGGGTTTCTTCAAATTCTCTTCAAAAGGAAATCACTGAGCTCACTAGTAGTCAATATTCTTTTCTATGCCAAATTCAGGCCTCCCCTCTGGACCATGAACTCAATGTGACATTAAAAGATATCAATCATCAACTTGCTAAGAAGAACTCTGATTGGTCGGGTTGGATTTTACAAAGAGCTAAGGCTAAGTGGATGTCTAATGGTGAGGATGACCTTAAGTTCCTCTATTCCAGGATTAATACCAGACGCAATTCCAATTTGATTAAAATTATTACCACTTCAGATGGAGAGTTCACAGCTATTTCTACTGATATCAACAATGCAATTGTCAACCATTTCCAAAAGTTTTTTAACACCAATCTTCCTCCTAGCTCTTCTAACTGGACTGCTCCCATTCATCTCAAACTTCCGTCAAACCTTATTCCTCAATTGGTATCTCCTATCACTATGGAAGAAATCAAGAATGTTGTCTTTTCTTCCCCTAACTGTTCTGCTCCGGGGCCTGATGGATACACATTTGAATTTTACAAGTCCACGTGGAATACTATTGGTAGAAAGCTTTGCAAGGAGGTTTTGTCCTTTTTCTCTAATGGCTTTATGCCTAAGCATGCAAAAGCTACTGTTATAGCTCTTATACCTAAAAGACCTCATGCCCAGGACATTGCCGACTACAGGCCTATATCTCTTTGCAACACCTTCTATAAGATTATTGCTAAGATCCTAGCCAATAGGATGAAGGAAGTTATGCCATCCATAATCCATCCTAGCCAATCTGGATTTATCAAGGACAGAGTAATCTCCGATAATATTTTGCTAGCGGCTGAACTTCTCAAAGATTTCAATTCTTCTTCTAGAAATCATTTTTTTTGTGCTAAGTTTGATATTCACAAGGCTTTTGACACGGTTTCTAGGAAATTTTTGATTGATTGTATGCTTGCCAAAGGCTTTCCTGATGTTTTTGTCTCTTGGATCAAGGGATGCATATCTGATGTTTACTTCTCTGTATCCATTACACTTGAGGGCTATTTTAAATCATCTTCTGGCCTTAGACAAGGCTGTCCATTATCCCCCTACCTATTTGACATTGTCATGGATAGCCTCTCTTCTTGCTTTGAGGAAGCCACTTTACAGAATTCTTTTCAGGGTATGAAGGCTGGTAACACTTCTATCTCTCATCTACTCTATGCCGATGACCTGTTGGTATTTGCTAAGGCATCTCTAGATAATGCTCATTGTCTAAACAACATCCTTAATAGTTTTGCTAGCATATCAGGTTTACAGGTGAATAGTAACAAAAGCAAGATTCTTTTATCAAAGAATGTCACTAATGATGAGGCTATTTACAGCACCCTGAATATTCCTATTTCTACTGCTCTTGTTAAATATATTGGCATCCCAATTTTTTATAGGAGATTGAAAATCTGTGACTTCCAGCCTCTTTTGGAAAAAAATTTCGGCCTCTTTGGATGGCTGGAAGGCTAGAAACCTCTCGTTTGCTGGTAGGCTGTAGTATCTCAATTTTACAATCAACAACATTTTGGCTTACTGGGTTCGTGGGACCTCTATTCCTAAAACCTGTGTTAAAACCATTAAAAGCCTTTGCTCTAGGTATTTATACGACGGGGATATTCATAAGAGAGGATTACACATGATTTCTTGGAAAGACACTTGCAAACCAAAAATCCATGGGGGGCTCGGTATTCATTCTATTGATTCACTTTACTATGCTTTTGGTTGCACTATTGTTTGGAGGGTTTTTTAATTCCAATAGTTTATTAATCAGCTGGTGGAAAGAAAAATATGGCTCTTTTTGGAATTATGGCATTTCAAAATGCTCTATTTACTGGAAAGCTCTCTATGATGTTGCTAAATGCTTACTGCACTCTCTCAATTTCAAAATTATTACTTCCAGTCATCTTTCTTTTTTTTGGGACCCCTAGTGCTTTGGAAAATCGGTGGCTGATAGACTAAAACAAGAAAATCTGGATTTTCTTATCACTACTAATAATTTGGCTGTTAGCAGGCTTATTTATAATGGTTGCTGGAACTTACCTCCAAACTTTCCAACCCACTTACCTGCTATGATCAATTCTATCCCTATTTGCAATTCGTCGGATGAATGCTGTTGGACTAAACCTGCTAAGCCTTCTTTCCGCAATTTCATCAAACAATTTTATGACGAGTTTGAGGTGGTTCCCTGGTATAAATTTGTTTGGCATAAACATTATACTATGCGGTTTTCTATTTACTCTTGGTTTGCTTTCAAGAATAGGCTTAAGACGGCTGATGCCTTAACAGCTAGGGGAATTTATGTCTCCCCTCTCTGTGTTTTCTGCAAATCTGAAAGAGAAACTACAAACCATTTACTTTTTGAGTGTGATTTTACCTTCAACATTCTGAAGTGTTTCATGCCTAGAATGAATTCCATGCTTCTGCGCCCAAACTTATGGCAGGTTTTTAGTGATACAGATGATTTGGAAACTAATTATAGTAGGAAGATTTTTTGCTTCCTTTTAATTTATGCTATTGTTTACTTTACCTGAAGAGCCCGCAATTACAGAATTTTTGGGAACAACATTGAATGCCTTACAACCATTACTTCGAAGATTAAAAAGGCTGTTTATCTTAAGACTTTCAAGAAGTAAAGGTTTAACACTCAACAGTTTATGTTCACTTGATCTCTGCCTTTTTGTTGTAGAAGGTATGCTGGTGTCCCTGGATGGCCTTCTTCGGCAACCATGGATTGGCTGGGTTTTTGAAGGACAATGATGATTGCAATCTTTTTCTACTCCCCTTGGATGGTCTCGGACTGCTTCTTCTCTTCGACAACCAGGGGAGCCCAACAATCCGACTGGATGATTTTGGTAGCCTGGGTGATCTTCATGAAGATTGCTTACTCAGTCCTTAATTTTTTGTATTATGCTTTTTTCCATTTTGGCTCTACAATTTTCTCTTGTTTAGCATCTTGAGCTGATAGGGTTTTTGTCAATTGCCTCATATTTTTTGTGATTGCTTTTGATCTTCTTTTTGTATTTTTTCCTTTATATCAATGATATGCTCTGATGCCGCAAAAATTCCCCCAAAAAAAAAAGCTCGCGCTCTTCTTTCTCCCACACACTCTCTATTCTTCCTCCCTCACGTACGCAACTCTGCTCAATCTCGTTAATCTTCCCCACATCCAGCCGACCTCCTCTCTTCCTCCCTAAGCACCTATCGATCGTGAACCAAACTTAGCCGGACCTCATAACCACCCGAGCTTCCGATCTCCCGTCTCCTTAGCGTATAGCAAAAGACTCCAAACTCCTCAAGCTTCCAACCGACCTCCACTCAAATCCCAGTCGAATCCCCTTCAACTGATGCGAGCTACAAAACAACTTCTTCCGCCTCTACCCTCTCTGTCGACCACAGCGACTGAAGCCCTCTCCATCTTCTTCTGTTCGCACGCCCTAGACGCAGCTAGCCAAGTCTCACACGAGTTCCCATCAACCTAGCCAACGCCGCCTTCGATGACTTTTCTTCCTGTCAGATTGAAAGTTACGACATTAAGCTTGCTCGATTGTGAAGGTAGTCATCTTCTTCCTTTCATGCGCTTCTGCGGTTAATTCCATAAAGGCTCACAGCAAACAGAGGAAAATGGAGGATTTAATTTGCTATTATTTTTTTTATTAATTATAATTAACTAATTAATTATTATTAATTATAATTGATTAATCAATATTATTAATTATAAATTTAGTTATAATTAAATATTATTAATTATAAATAATAGATTAATTACAATTAACTAATTAATTATTTAAGCATTATGAAGAGCAGAAGATCAAATTTGAACAATAGGGAATATGACTTGAACTGAATTATAAGAAACTTAACCTTAAATCCTGAAATGCTCAATTAAAATTAAAATGCAAACATCAAATGATAAATTTAATGCCTTCAAACAAGTACAAGCGAACGAGAAGGGAGCTCGTGATGGATAAGACCCCAATGCATACAGATAATGAATGATAATCAATTTATAGTAATTACAAATAAATATAATGAACGAATAATGTTGATCGATGCATGATGAATGTAATGGGTTCTTACAATAGTTCCTATGTAGTTGAATGCACTATACTTACAAGCAACAACCGCCAACTGTTGAATGCATGGTTTCTCCTACATGCATTAATGAAAGCCCTAATACAAGTAACAATTTGCTTGTAGATTGAAATAGTGGTGCTTACAAACAATAACAAAAGACATGCCGTGCATACAATAGCTTATATAAAGACAACAAGCACTAAATGTAACAATGCCATGTAGTCAATATCGCACCTTGCGTAAAACTAGTTTTACCACATGCGAGTACGCTAAGCCACCTGTGAATGGTGAAGATGGATACTATACAAGTGCAATGAATCTTCTATAAACACCTAGAGATTGTAATGAATATGACCATTCCCTATAAACAAGTGCGGTTGATATGGTTTATTTGTGGATAACAACAGTGAGTTTATTACAAGTATAACAAATCTCATGTGGACACAAATACATACAACAACTACAAATAACTATAGGAGATATGTTGTGTATAGTAGTCCATCTACCGATGACGACGAACAATGTATAACATATATTAGATCATTCTTACAGTCAATAAACATCCAATAGTCAAGCAGCTGCACTGATCCTATGACAGTCAATGTCAGTATGTAGATGAATATACAAATCTTCCCACAGTCAACAATAAATAGCTGATGACCAATGATGAATGCGTATAAGAGTACCTTTCCTACGGACACCTACATCAGAGATGATTGAGGTGCTATAAGTATGGTAGGTCCTCTATAAGCATAACACATTTGCCTTGTTAGAGTTCAAAGCTTTGCTGAATAAGTACAATTAAAGACCCTCAATTGATAACTTCAAAGGCTTTGATATCGAGAGTTGGGTATAAAAGCAACTCGATATACAGGGGAGACCAGCTGGTATGCTGTCAAAAGAAGACTGAATGTGACGTGAAGCTCGTAAAGTTGAATAATTATGTCAAATCAAATAATGAACAGTTGAAGAAGAAAAATGTCATTCTATCATCTCTACTGAGACTCCTGGAGAAATGCTGCATTGTTTGAATGGGGAGCAAATATCTAGAGATCAAGTCTCATAACCCAATGTCATATATGCACATCAAAATGCATAGAATTAAATGACACCGGTGAATTGGAAGGAGCCATTCTTAGTTGTTATGTTAAGAGTTGCAGAAGAAGCTCCCATGTGCATATCATATATAAGAATGTAATTAAGACATTGGAGATGATATTGCATCTTACCATGCTCACACAGCTCACCTTGGCTTGTTGGTTGAGAGCTTATGCTTCCAACTAAGAGGACTTGGGTTCAAGTCTTTGTGTATGCGTTGTGTGTGTGAGTTTGCCTTAAATGGCCTAAATATCCAAAAAAAAAAAAAAAAAAAAAAATCTTACCATGCTCATACTTCGAGAAGGTTACCTCATCATAAGCCAAAGAAGCCTAACGGTGCACCAGCAGAGCCTTTGATCTCATCAGATGAAGATACCTCATTTATCACAAAATGGGATCATGTCATTTGGATGTCCTTATCGAGCTTAAACACATATTAGTTGATTTACAAATTTGATCTCCTGAAGAATAAGAGAAGGGAGCCTACATCAGAATAATGAAGTACCTCATGGCTACGCCAAATAGTAACATTATGATTCACCTGTAAGCAAAAAAAGGAATCATTAGTAAAAAACAACGGGCCATTGAAGCGCAATGCCATGCCTCTAGATCTGTAACACTCGCACAGGAAGACATAATGTGTCAACAAATCTTGAAAATAAAGCTCCACGCATTCAGCAACAATAGTCACCTATGTAGTCGAACACCCTTATGCATTGCACCGAAATATCTTAAAATGCCCTCCTCATACATGCATTGCAACATGCATGATAAGTTATATAAACATATCATATAACATTGCATTTACATGCATATACGTCATATGTGCATGGCCAAGGGCCTTTTTGCGTGCATCTGTCAATGCCGAGGATTTCATTATAATGTGTCATTTAACACTATAATTGTATTTCAAAAATACATCCATACGCATTTACAATAAACAGAGGGTTTCACTCCAGTGTGTCACTCGACATTATAGTTATAATTAAAAAAATCATCCTCTCCATAAGCAAAGGATATCACTCATTTGACACTATGATTGCATTTTAAAAATACATTTGCATGCATTTACAATAAGTAGAGGGTATCACTTTAGTGTGTAATTTAACACTATAATTGCTTTTCAAAAATACCTCTGCAAGCATTCACATTAAGCAGAGGGTTCCACTTCAATATGTCATGTGACAGTACAATTGTATTTGAAAATCATATCATGCACACACATGAATGCATTGTATAAAATGCATCCAACAACATATACTCATGTAGGCCTTAGCGATGTTGTTGTAGGTACACACACAACGTATGAGAATATCACGGGGTTTAAAAAATAACTTTAGATTCGAACCCGATCCTCTATCGACAAGTAGACATAGCTGACGCGGTTCAATCAATAAAAAATGTAATAACACATGAACTCCCCGATGATGGCCGTGTTGAATGTAAATCTCATCCGGAGGGGGACATATATTTTCAAATGTCCTTAAACTTCAACAAAATACAAATATTTTCAAATGCCCTCAAACTCAACCTGATGATGGCCGTGTTGATAGAAAATATCAACTGGATAGAACCATAAACATTCAAAATGCTCCCAAATGCCCATAAAATCCAAAACTCCAAAAGTACAAAAATTCAAGAATATTTAAAATTAAAATAGATCATCAAATACTTATAAACGTGAAAAGGTTGTATCAAATACGAAATGAGCATATACGTGAAAAGGTTGGAGTAGCTCCAGTAGAAGATAAGATTAGAGAAAGTCGCCTTAGATGGTTTGGTCACATAAAACGGCGGCCTTGCGATGACCCGGTTAGGAGCGTAGAGGTATTAGATTTGACTTATGTTAAGAAAGGTAGGGGTAGACCTAAAAAGACTTGGTTAGAAAATATTATGAATGACATTTCTTTATTAGATTTAAACGAGAATTTGACTTTTATTAGGACACAATGGAGAAAAAGGATTCATGTAGCCGACCCCACGTAGTGGGATAAAGGCTTGATGTTGTTGTTGTGTTGTTGTTGTATCAAATACTTATAAACACAAACACTCATCCACCCTCCGCAATAATTTATCGAGGTAGACAAAATCTGAAAATAACTTCAGCTCTTAAAGAGCTAATGTCTAGTTGATAATATCAATATAATTCGATAATATCGTTATGATTCATTCTCAATCTGCCTCTTGCCAATAAGGACGTAACACATGTCCTCTAATCGGTGATTTGGTTGCCAAATGGCACCACACAATGGATTCCGCCACCAAATGGCACCACAGGTAAATTACTATGACTGGAACCCTCTGAACCAGGTGATTTTGCCACAAAATAACACAATTATATTATGTTCATGGTCAACGCCTGTATGATCTCCAATGATATCAAATCATTAAGATATGAATCCTATATAGGGCACAAAGCCCTCTATTAGCTAAGGTGGGTTTAAATTTATCCTCTTAGACAAGTATCCACCCTGAGTCTATGAGGTACTCTTGGAAGACCCAACATGTGGCTGCCGACAAGGATCCTATTGTCTGATTGGGTCGACTACCTCCTTTGATTAAGTAGACCAGAGACCGTGATTATATGGGACGACCGAACCAAAGGATCTTGATTGGGCTTATCACTCCCCTCCCCCCTCCCCCCTCCCCACACCATCCGCTTTGAGTGCACGATGCCCCCCTGCCCCCTCCCCACACCATCCGCTTTGAGTGCAAGATGATACAATTTCTAATTTTAAACATTAAATTTTCACATATCAACCAATGTTGCTACTATATGCCAAATATCACATATCTAGAGTTACGATGTATTGGTTCGACGACTAACCTTAATCAAAAGATCTCTCTCATGATTGAGTGGGGTAATTAACTATAGAGGCTTGTGCCAATAGGAAATCAGAACTCAGATCATAAAGTCCTCACAAAATGAGGGCGAGATATCTGAGTAGTGCTTATCTACAAACCCAATCTGCCTTCTAAAAATTTACCCCGGAACCTAATCCATCAAAACTCCCCCGAAAAGCACGGGGAGGCCGGGGCGCGAATTTTCGGAGTCCACATATTTGAATAGGGTTAAAATAATTGTCAACTGAAATATCAATGATTCAATATATAAGGCCAAAAACTGGAGGCTCAAGCAATCATCCAAAAATCATAAGAGTTTGAACGTGGGAACAACCCAATATAACACTACTTCTCAATTTATTTTTATGATTTGCAATTTGTGTTCCCCCACAGAATTACTGACTTAAAAATATCATCACTAGGGGCATCATACAGAATCAGGTACACAAATTAGTGTCCTTAAGAAATGTATTAAGTTCAATTAAGCTAAATAGGCACATCAGACGGGTAATCCCCAGGATATTTCTCGACAGTTTGATAAAGAACCTGCTCTTGTTCTCTCAGGTTCGAAGGTAGAACATCATAAACATCAGTGAATAATTCTTTCAGTTGTGGCTTTTGCGCTCTCTCTGCAACCTGAATTGCTTGCAGTAGCTGCACACAAAAGAGTGACACAAAAATCTAGTAAATAATTCATTATAAATAGCCTCCAAAGACAGCATTCACTTTACATGCATTGCTTATGCAGCAAAGCAAACTAAGGCTTCATTTGGGACGGCTTTCTTACTACTTCTTAAAGCAGCTTTTTAGTACAAAGCTGCTTCATAAAGTAACAAGAAAGTAACAAGAAAGCTGTCTCAAATGAAGCCCAAGTAGCCTATGAAGAACTGCATTGAAGCTCGGGAATGAGAATTTTACCTCTTTCCTAACACTGCTTCTAAACTCAGATTCAACATCATCACACCACCAACCATTTCTCTCAATCCACTTTCTATATCTGGAAATTGGATCCCTTTCTGTTCTCCAATGATTGATTTCATCAGCTGGACGGTACTTTGTGGAATCATCAGAAGTTGAATGATGTCCAACTCTGTAGGTCAGTGCCTTACATGTTTATAAGAAACATTTAGAATCATAATGAGTTCATTAAAGGCTGTACAAATAGACTGAAAAGTCTTCACCTCAATCAAAATTGGCCTAGATTCAGATATAGCCATCTCTCTGGCTAAATGAACTGCACTATACACAGCAAGAGCATCATTTCCGTCCACCCGAATGCTACGAATACCATAAGCTTGGCCTCGAATCACGGCACCATCGCCTGGTAATTCAAAAACTAAATTATTAAGGGTAAAAATACATTTTGTTTCAATACGAACTAGTAAATGAAAAATAAACCGACATCTAAATTGTTCTTCAGTGGGAGTGCTAATTGCCCAGCCATTATTGCGACAGAAGAAAATTACAGGAGACTCCGTAACAGCAGCAAAATTTAGTGCAGCATGAAAATCTCCCTAACATGATCATCAGAAAATTCAGAAGAGAAGCAAATTACTATAAATTGAGGCACGCTATAAATGGATTTCTAGCATACTTCACTTGTGCCTCCATCGCCAAAATATGTGACAGCACAGGCATCCTTTCTATCCATCTTGAGAGAATAAGCAGCTCCAACAGCTTGTGGAAGCTGTGTCCTGAAATTTTTGATTTGTTCAGCAGAGAACTCAACATGTAACGTTGCTTCAAAATTTTAACAAAAAATTCAAAATAGTCCCTAGACTATTTGTGTGTGGCTAATTTAATTTTAAAATATCACATTGCAACAACTTAGTCCTGACTAAATAAAATTGATCCAAAATGTTATATCATATTGTAATTGTGACATTAAATGGATCTATATTTAGTCCCTCAACTATAAAATGGTTCCCAATTAAGTCCCTAAAGGACTAGTTTAGATCAACTTTGTATAATCAAATGACTAAATCAAGTAAAATTATACTCTAAGATTAAGTTTTCATTTGGGACAATTTTTTTACTGTTTTTTACCGCAGCTTTTTAGTACAAAATTTTCCTGAAAGTAGCGAAAAAAAGGTGGTCAAAAACTGTCCCAAATGAAACCTAAATTGGCCACATACAAATAGCTAGTAGATTATTTTGAAGTTTACCCAATCTTTAATCACATTGTATATTGAAATGGTTACTTACGCTATTGGTGATGAAATCGTGAAATAATTATACTTTCTTGATCCATAATGAATTGGCATCTGCCTTCCTTTACCATAGTCTGATTTATTGCCAAAGCATTGATTTGCAAATTCTTGAAGAGTGAAACCCCTCCATAAAAGAACACCAGGTTCCCTATACTATACGGGTTGCATAGTTTTTATTTTTCTGGAAGAAAATTTGAGTAATTTATGTGATATTCTTTACTACTGAGTACTAACCTGGGGAAATACGACATCTTCATTGCTAAGAGCAGCTGCAGATGCAATGTTGATGGCTTCTTCTCCAGTAGAAGTGAGATAGAAGGATATTCTTCCTTGCCTCTGAGCTTCATAGAAGATGGTGTCCATGACTTGTAGAGTAATCATGTCCCTATACATTTTCATAGCTACTTCTCTGGTTACCTGAGAAATGGGTCAGCTTAAGATTTGTTTCCTCAATGACAGGGAGGCAGAGAATACCAATTTTCAAAAAATAGTGACAAATATAAGATCCCAAATCATCATATTCAAAAGGTTAAACTAAGGCTTCGTTTGGGATGACTTTCTTACTGCTTCTTAAAGCAATTTTCTAGTACAAATATTTTAATTTTTGTATTATAAAGTTGCTTTAAGAAGCATTAAAAAAGCTACCCCAAACAAAGCCTAAGTCTGTATCATGAAAAACAAATAATTTATTTATTTTAGTCTATACACATAAATCTTCATACGTCACTAGATTTACGAACACTTGCCTCTTTAAAACTACTGCCTGATATTGTTTGCCCGTTATCATCAAGAACTCGATAGCAGCTTATTCTTTCGCCAGTGGATTCCGAAAGGAACCTCATCTCTGAAATGAACGTAACCTTTCCGCCAGGAAAATCCAAAACCTAGCACAACGCAAATGCAAAACATAGTAAGCACAAGATATTCGATAAGCACAAAGCATGTGGTCCTGCAATTTTTCATTTTTCACGGGCCTTAAACAATTTTAAAATTTTATGGTAAATTCATAGTTCTAGAAATTCCTGCCAAAATAAAAAACAGAATTCAGAGAGAAACTTTATAGGAAGATTCTTAGATTGCAGAGCTTAGACTTAGAAATATAAATGGAGCAATTGCAAAAGAGCAATCAATTTTTTGCAATGCGCATACCTTTTAGCTTTTTAAGTCTATCTACACCTTGATATTAGGAACCGTTAATAAAGAAAGAACAGTATTATCATCCCAAGAGATCAAAAGGAGCAACTTCCTAAATAACACAAGATAGAAGGCTACTTCCAAAATCAAAAGATATGTAAATAAAAGTACAAAATAAGAGATTTTAAGTCCTGACATACGTAAGATCAAGTTAAAAAAATCAAATAATATCAATAATAAGATCACAAAGCTCCAAATGCGTGGCAACTTTCACTGACAAGAAAATCAGCAGCACTATTAACTCAGTTTGTGCAGTACATTAGATTAAGCAATATTTCTTTGTTAACACCCAACCACAATTTTGTTCAAAAGAGGTCAACTTTTGTGGCACCCATAAGAAATAAACTAAAATAAATACGAGATACTATGGAGTGATTGTGTGTTCATGAAATGGATTTGGTAAGGGGTGATTTTGCACAAAAATCAATTCTAGGTAAGTTATATATTTTTAATTTTTTCTACGAAAAAAAATTTAATTACATTATGAAAACTTTTAAAAAATAAATCTATATATTTTTATGTGGTGTTTAATTTTGAGTCATTTTGAGCCAAATCAAATTCAAATCAAGTATAAATTATATCATGTAAGTTTTGTTGAAGATCATGAGAGGTATAAATCATGTACTTGAACAGAAAATCCATAAATAAAAACCCATAAACAGCAGGTAATCAATTCAAAATTTTATGAGAATTATTACCCGGCATATACAAGGAACTTTAAGAGGACAATCTATCATTTAGAAAAAAAAGAGTTTCTCCAATCGAATCATTTTTTCTTCCTAAATTAATTTATTTTTAGACTGGTTGGTTAATGGCTTTATCCCCATCTAAGAGCATTTGGGTTTGCAGATTGTCGTAGCGCACATTTGTCATTTCAAATTCCAAAAAGAAAATATTCCTCAGTTCTCTATTAGGCCGGCCCAAGAGGGGCCCATTGAACCGGGGTCCCTAGTGGACTGGTTTTCTCTTATAGCCGCCGGCCCAAGGAAGGGAGAGAGAGAGGGCCGGCTACTCCTATGGGGCCCACGCCTTGATTAAAGATTGTTTGGAGGGAAATATTTGAATTAGTGGCTGTTTAGGGATTTTGTATTGCTCCTTTGACTTTAATTAGTTGCTAATGCTAGAATTAGGGTTTCATCTTGAATTTAAAATCTAATTTGAGATCTAGGGTTTGTGCTTTTGGGCTCTAGGCTTTGCTAGAGAATTGGAGAGTTGTTTCTTCCTCTCGAATTGAAGAAACTTGTATCTTGTATTGTTTTTCTTGTTCGTGAATTGAATAAAAGAAGTTTTCCTTATGTTTCTCTCCAATATCCTGAACTCATGCATCATTTTTACTGTTTTCTCTCTGAAATCAGAATACTTCTCGTTGTTTTTACCAATTATTGCTAGGTTTGCTTGCGAATTCAAGTATTTTCCTTAGGGTTACTTGCGAACTCAAGTAGTTCCCTTAGGGTTACTTGTGAACTCAAGTATTTCCTATCATTCTCCAGTCCTAATGGGTACACCTCCAAATTCTACATTTCATCTAGAAAAATTATGAATATATTGTTTATCATGGCTTTTAGACATTTCTTCTGGACTTGTACTCATCTGCATGCATGGTGAAACATTCAATTATTACCCTTGTATCTAACAACCTTCATGAAAACTACCTTTCTTATTTAAAACCTATATTTCTTTGTAATTTCTTTTATAAGGTTGTTTTTATGTTGATGGTTATCAAGCTCAAACAAGTTCTGTTATCATTCACCATGTTCAGGCTGTCTTTATTAACAAACAAGGCATTGCAAACAGATCTCCTTTGCTTCTAAAATCCTTATGGTATTCAATACACTCTCTTCCTATATGTTTTTTTTTTTTTTTTTTGAGGAAAGCTTTTGATTGTATCAACAAAGGCTTTCTTCTTCAAAGACTTACTGATAAGGAAATCCCTCATATATTTGTGAGATAGATTAAAGCCCACATCTCTTCTACTCCCATGCTTGCTATTATTAATAAGGAGCTTTAGGAAACTGCCACCAAGCCAATGATTTAAGGAAAAGTCTGTTATCTCCATTCCTCTTTATTCTCTAATGTCTTATCGATGATAGATGCGCCAAAGCTATTTTCCTTACTCTTTCTTGTGGCCAATTATCTATCAACTACTTGATATATACAGATGTTCTTCTTGTTTTGGGTATGTCAATTATAGGACTATTAATGCCCCACTAGGAGTCTCCCATTACTTCTGGTTACCTTATGAGGTTCATAGGTAACCCTAACAAGATTCAGATTTGTTGAGTCATGTATCTGAATAACTACCAAATGTTTTGTGATCCTTAACATTAATGGTCATTCCCTCACTCTTAAAAAAACGTGGGGTTCCTCTTAAACCCACTAAAGTCATGATTATGGATTGTCACGCATCATTTAATAGACTCAACAAGTGGCTTGCTGGCTGGAAGCATAAACTATTACGTATTGTTAGTCATTTTCAACTGCTCAAGTCTTTTATATGGAGCTACATTTCCTGTTGGTTAAGTTCCTTATCTTTACCTAAATATGTTCCTCAAAATGTGACGAGCTTTGTTTCTAAAGTAATCTATAATAGTGGATTCTCTAACAAGCTTCACATCATTTCTTGGAATCAAACTACACCACTTAAACCCAAAGGAGGCTTGCATTTCCGTTTCTCTCATCTGTAGCAAAGCTTGCAAAATGAAAAATTATTTGGAAGAGTATTGTTTGTCCTAACTTCTTCACTCAATGCGGAATGCTCTCTATGGATCTATTTGGAACAGATGTCCCATTAATGTTTCTCATTTCTGGATGAAGTTATAGCCAGTTGCTTCCTAAATACATTAAATGCCTTCTTCTATTATTGGAAATGGCCAAGTATTTAATTGGATCTAATTGTGGGAGTACCTACTACCTATCTACAATATTTAGTAGGTAAGGAGCATAAATAGATCTAAAGCTGTTAGCCCTTCTAACCTGTTACATACAATTAAATTCATATAGCCCAAAAGCAGGACAGAGCTACAATAGAAGAACTGGAGGTCTATGCCTCCATTGACTCAATCATTCACCGCTGCTCGTAGGTGTTTGCCACCATGGTGGAGAAAGTTGTTCGTGTGGGTCAGAGGAAGATGATGATGTAAAGCTATATAATACTAGAAAAGCTTTTATAATTAAAATACAGTAACATGTCTTATAATTAGGGCTTTTAATGGGATTGAGCTGGCCCATAAATTCATGGCATTAATGGGCACAAGTTTAAATGAGTTAGCACTAATTAAATCAAGGCTTAGCTATCATTAAAACTCTATTGTGGTCCTCAACGGTTGACTAGTGAGAAATGGAAGATATCTTTGCGTTGATATATCTACATTAAAATTTGAAAAAGACGTGCCTAAAACCTAAAATCAAGTGTTTGTTTGGTTTGTTAAAAAAATAGTGCAGTGTAAAATGAATGTATTATAAAATAAATTCAGTATATTTAATTTAAATATTTGGTTTAGTGTAAAACAAATACATGAAATTACTTTTTGATGTTTAATTTAGATTAAAATAAATGTGTTAAGTCATTACCTACTGCGATGATGATGACTGTCAACTATGGGGCGATGGATGGTGATGACCAACAGTGGGGCGGTGGCCAAACAACTGGCAACGACTAGTGGTGGGCAATAGTTAGCAACAAGCAACAGTCTATGACAACAGGGTAGCTAGTGATGGTCACAAGTGGTGAGGGTTGGTCAACAGTGGTGGCCCATGATGGTTGATGGAGGTCTGTGGTGATCACAATGACTAATGTTAGACAATGGGCTTACGACTGGTGATGGTGCTTGTTAGCTGGCAACGACAACTTGCACAAGAAGAGCCAGATAATACACAATGTATTTGGACATAATTCAAATCGACCGATTTCCAAATATGCTACGGGGTTGTTTGGTTTGATGAAAAAGGAATGTAGAGTAAAATGAATGAAAGTAGTGTATTGAAAATACATACATTAGCTGGTAAGTTTTTTTTATCTACAACAACATGTGCAATCATATTTTTGTGATTCTCCATATTAACAAGGCAACTATGTGACACAAAGGGGTTGCACAACATTTAGTAATATTCAAATTTTTCCTGCAAGGACCCAAGCGTGCATCAAGATTAACAATTATGGTGTTTCTTGTAATATACCAAAGATTTTAGTCATGATTCAAGCACAAATGTGGCTGAGTATATTACAAATGCAGGATTTTACATTTTAGTTTGGTTAAAGTGAATATAAAGTAAAATAACACTGTGTTTGCAATAATAGTTGATTAGAGGTGGCCAACAACAAGGATGGTAGGTGGTGGGGGCCGGTGAGGTAGGCATGGGTGAGGATGGCAGTTGGCGACAGACGGCGATGGTGGCGAGGGCCGACAAGTGGCAATGATCGGTCATGGCCAATTGGTATCACCTTTCGCAAGCTGTGAAATTGGAATTCCCTCAAATTAGGTGAATGCCAAAAACACTTAACTAACTACAAGGTGATTTTCTAAACACTTAACTAACTACAAGGTGATTTTCAAATGCACTCCTAAAACATATTAGATTTGAAATGTAGTCATCAGAATGCATAAATTTAGAAAGCCCCATAGTTAACTTTACTCTACAATCAAAATGCAACTAATCAAATAGCCCCTTTGTAAGGTTTAATGAATTGGCTTAAAATTAGTTTGACTAACATAAAAAAATTGAGTTGGTATATCTTCATTTAAATACCCAAAATTTTAAAACCCCTATATTTACTTTACACTCAAAGCACAACAAACCAAGTATCCCTTAAGATGAGTTCTGATGAATTGGCATAAACTAAAAATTAGTTTGACACCAACCTAAAAAAATTTGGGTTGGCATATCTTCATGAAAATTTTAAAAAAGATGGATTTTAAATTATTAAATTTATCTTAAGATAATATAATAAATGAATGTTCAATTAAAATTTATTTTACATGTATCTCACAACAAATTCAATGATTTTTAAGTTTATTTTGACTTTTTTTAATTAAAAAAAATAGCAAATTCAAAATATAAAATTTTGGAAGGAGAAATTGTAGGTAACACAAGTAATTGTAACATTTTTACAGACATATATTATTTCTTTTTGTATTAAAACTATAAAACTTTTTGAGATTGCCAATGCTGATCCCAAGCTATTCTGAGAAATATTATGGGTATTTTTGAAATCATCAATTAGTTTCCCCCTAAGAAAGTTTTTAGCTTTGTCATTGCCTAAAAGATAAAGAGATGGAATTGGAATGTTAATTACTCTTCTATCATATATATTTTGCTTCAAAATTATTGAGGAACTAAGCTTAGGACTCCGCATGTCCTTGCTATTTTGGTTTTGTTTATGTTAATGAGGATCCATTCCAACAACAGCTTATATCGGGGTTCCATTTGGCTACACAACACTCGTCCACTACTACTTACAATGGAATTAGTATTACAGGATTCAATTATGTTTTGCAACAACAACAACATTATCAAATCTGTTTTGCATATAAAATAAACTCATGCAAAACAGAAAGCGATGAAAGTAAGAACTCCGTCATAGAACATTGAAAGTAATTCGTCACAACAATGATTAATTTCATATCTACTATTTGGTAAGAGCTGGTAAAAGGTAATTAAAATCAACAGATTTTTTAGAAGTTTTGGGACAGGTTCAATGAAGAACAAGGATCTGATCCTCATACTTATTTTAAGCAAGCAGCCTTTTCATTATACTCCACATACTTCGCAGCAACTTTGGCTAACTTTTTAAGAATGAATCCTTATCATTCATCTTCAACAGATCACCTCATCTCCTCCAACGTACAAGTGATTTATGACTTAATACAGTTTCAGTCTACAGAAACTATGAATATATATATATATATATACACACACACACACACACTACCCTTTTACTATGTATTGAGGGAGATACAATGGAAAAATTACACTGCAGTTTTCTCTATTGTAGTGCTTAATTCTTCAGCTCTTTGGTTTCTTTAGTATTTGTTCACTGTTATATTTACAGCAAATTATTATTCATTCATCATTTTGCTAGCTTCGATCTACCTTCACATAAAACTGCAACTCCAAGTTTTCTTCATGGTATCATAGCATTCTTCTTAACAACATCATTTCCCTTATCTATTTTCCTACAGCTTTCTCATGGCCAATTCGGCAAACTCATCCACAAACAATCCTACTTCTCTACAATCAGGTCTCAATGACATGGCTGAAACTTCTATCCCGTCCCACCTAAAAATTTTTTATGTTCAACATAAAACACATTCCAATCTACAGAAACTATGTATCCATATATTCTACTCTTACACATTGTATTGAGGGAGATATAATGCAAAAATTATACTCAGTTTTCTCTGTTATAATTCTTAATTCTCCACTTCTCTGTTTTCATCAGTTTTTGCTCTCTGTTTATGTTTACAGCAGCTAATTCTTCATTCTGCATTTTGCTAGCGTCGGTCGGCCTTTACATAAAACCGCCAGCTCCAATTTTCCTTCAAGTACTTCGTCACATCAACGATTCATTTGATATCTTCTATTTGGTAAGAAGCTGACAAAAGGTAATTCAAATCAAATGATTTTCTTGAAGATTTGGGACATTCGATGAAGAACTAGGATCTGACCCTCATATTAATTTTAAGCGAGGTCATTCTCATATTAATTTCGCTCCCAAGCCACTAAAAATCAATTTCAATCTTGCCACCAAAACTGATTTGACCTAAATAAATTATCATACTAGGAACAATTTTCCTTAAACAACAACTAATAAAACAGACGGAAATCAGAGACGATAAAACAAATTAGAACCCACCCACCTGGTTCCTGCAATCATCGTACTGCGGGGAGACGCTCTCACCAGCCCTAGCCGACCCGAAACATCGGTCCGAACCACCTCTTGAAAACGGAATCGGCGGGGAGTTCCAGCGACCGATTACAGTCGAAGCAGATAAGCCTCGCATAAAATGCCGCGCCGCTGTGGATCTTGCGTGGCAGATGAGAGCCATTGGAAAAGGAAATTTTTTCCTCAAACTTTGTTTCAAAAATTCAAGCTTTGAGTAAACAATTTGATCAGTTTATGATCGCAAATAAAATAAATCTTTAGTAAACGAGATAAAGGAGAAAGGCGTGTCTGCATGCGAGTCCAAATGAGTATGAAAGTATTTTGGCATTATCGTTCAGCTCATTTTGGTCCCTCATTACCTCATTAATAACTATTTATCCAAATGGAACCTGAAAAATTCAACCAGACCTTATATTAGGAAAATTATACGCGCACAATAATATTGTAAAAAAAAAATTAAAATTTCTATATATATATATATATATATATATATATATTAATTTATATGAATTAATAATTGAAGCTTGAGGGCATAAATTTATTTCAAAATCCTATTACACAAATTTTGAGATATCAAATTTATAAGAACGTAACATATAACAAGTAAAATAATTAAAAATATCATAAATGCTTTCTTTTGGTCTTAATTTTCAACAATCTCACATTCAATATTTTAACTAATAATTTATGAGTCTAAATAGTTACTTATTATTTTGCCAATAAAAACATTAATACCTGATTTTCTTCAATTAAAAATATATTTACTTCATCTGTTACAATAATAAATAGATTAACAATTGCATCAAATTAGACGACAAAAAATATGCAAATTGTTTATAAACGAAATTCATATTACTAAGAAATTAAAAGCCTACAAGAAAAAAAATAATTTATTTTATATTATTTCTTATAAGAAAAGTATTCATTATTTTTTATAACCATATTATTAATTCATATAAAATTAAGAACTATAAAATTGTATTAGCCAAATAATAAATATTTATAATTAAATAATTAATAACAATGATTCGATGATTGAGTGATAATCCTCTCATTTATTTATTTTATATCAAGAGGCATATCCAAAAGTTAGGTTTAAGAATAATTTTAAAATTATTTAAATATTTACGTATTGTATAAATAAATATCAAAATTCAGATGTGAGATATGTAAAAATTTCGATAAGTTGGAAATTTTTTTTACTATTGTCGCTGATTGGATTTCCAGCATGAACAATTCTTCTTTCTAAGGTCATCTACTGAAGAGGAAATATTAAAAAAATAGAGAAGAATATATCAATAATATCACATATAATCAGGGTGTAAATTCAGAGCTTTATTATTATTATATTTTATTAATTTAGTTTTTCTAATGGCTACAGAACAGACATGAACATTTCCAAACTTGATTATGCATTTACGGCCATCAAACTATTCATTGGTGATGTCTCCCTAAATTTTAGTAGATGTTAGAAAAACAGTATTAGCGTACTTTTGAGAAAGGGGAAACCTCAATAAAACAAAATTAACATTTGTTCAGTCTTCTCAATGGGAGAAATATGCATTACCTCTAGCCCATAAGTCATAGCCTTGATTTCTATGTGAAGATCAAAACAGAGGATTTTTTTAGTTGTTAGAAATTTTCTCCAAATGAATTAGTATTAGAAGAAATGAAATATTTTAATTTTTATTGAAATCATGATTACTTGCTAATCTTTATATGGGTGAAAAGAGGAATGAGCAGAAGGAGCAATTGTTAACAATTTCAGAAAGAAATCTCATCAGAAAACAGAAGAAACAGGTAAAAAAGAATAGAAGAAAGAGCATAAACATGCTAGTTGCATAATCCGGCATTAGGAAAAGATCTAACTTTTATTCTAAATAATAATCTAGCTTTAGGAAAGGACTGAAGCAACAATGATAATGCTGTGTGGAGAGTTTATGGGAGGAGATATGAGACAGTGGAGTGATGGCTAGATAATTACAACATAAAGGCCGACAGAGAACAACTATCGGGAGCGAGCTGTTGAGTTCGTCTCTCACGAGGGACTTTGTAAGAAAGAGGAATGAGTTTACGATAATTTTGAGAGCGCGAATTATATTAATATGAGAGAATAGGAAGGATGCACATAGGAATCTCATAGGTTGCGATGGAATGCATGGACAAGATTTTGTCATTTTTATTTTTACAGTTGAATAAGAAACTCATGGTATGTGCCATAGCAATAATTATTGAATAAAATTTGATTTGTTTGATTCAATGCACCAAAGATATGAATTGAGATGGTAGAGTAGAAGGAAAGGTAGAGATTTTGTGTTAGCTGAATCAATCAATTAAAGGACTAATTGAACCGCTCATATAGAGAAAATGTATTTGGACAGAAAAAGAAATTATGATGAGAAATTTAGAAAGATGATGCAAAAAAATTCAGTAAGATACAACTTTAACAAGAAGCATAAGGTTATATTATGTTTATCCTCAACTTGTGCCCCCTATTTAGATTAAGGTTTTATTTGGGACGGCTTTCTTACTACTTCTTAAAGTAGCTTTCTAGTAAAAAAAAAATAATTTTTATACTAGAAAGCCGTTTTAAGAAGCAGAAAGAAAGTCATCCCAAACAAAGCCTTAATGTAGCTATCAAGTTTGTAGTTGGATATTAGTTGAAAAATTATATGAGTTTTATGTTAAGTTTGAACAAGTTATGGATTAAGTTAAAATTATTTTTGGATTAAGAGGGAGTGTTAATGGTGAGCTTCTCTAGAAAAAATCATACAATCAGTAAAAAAAAAGTATGAGTGAGTTGCCCAATTTGTTTTGTGAGTAGCCTTGGTAAATGGGCAACTTTGTGAATCCAACAAGCGGGTTCAATAGCTTAGTACAAGGGTCAAGTAAGGTCATAACTTGACAAGATCTAGCCTTAATTAAGCAACTTAATGCTTAGTAAGTCTCAAGTTACAAGTGATTCAAGTTGGTTTATAATGATCTAGTTCTAGAACCTAATTCAACTTCTTATAAAGATTTGGTGAACATGACTCAAGCACATATAGATGTATATTAAGGCTTTGTTTGGGAGAACTTTCTTAATGCTTCTTAAAACAATTTTTTAGTCCAAAAATTAAAATTTTTGCACTAAAAAGTAGTTTTAAGAAGTAGTAAGAAAGCTGTCCCAAACGAAACCTCAATCAATAATTCTCTTCTTCTTTCGAAGAAGCTAAGAAGATAAAGCGGAAAGCTTTAAATACTTTGATTTATTGTGGGTGACTTGTACATGATCTAAATGGCCCTATGGTACATCGATCTTTGACGTGCACTTACTATGATGTTGAACATGAAGCTTCTGGAGCAACTATAAAGAGTCAGACCGAGAAGAAGATTAAAACCATCACCGGAAGCTTGAATAAGTCCACGAGCTAAAATATTTATTAAGGATTCAATACTTATTTTATGTTTTAATTTTATTTTAAGTCTATATTTATGTATGATTTAATTTTATAAACTTATAAGTGAGAAACTGTAAAATTTGAATTTCATTGAAATTCAAAAAAATTAAAATTGAGGGGATTTTAATGTAGAATTATATAAATGTGTTAAATTAAATTAAATTATAAATTAAAACTCTTTTTAAGGAATCCTACGACAAGCCAAGATTGGGGAAAAAGTCCCACTTCAATATATAATAATATAGTTAACTTTCAATCACTTATCAAAAGAAATTAAAATTAGACAAGAAAAAAAAACTAAAATCACTTAGACCTGGAAGATCATGCCTCTACACCATTTTTAATTATACTAGGCCTTTTTCTTTTCATGAAATATCAGAAACATCATATAATAATCATAAGTAGCTCAATAGATGTCTTTCTCTAACCCATCATATATATCAATATCTAAGTCAAAATATTATGTAGCAGTTAATTAATTAAAATAAATATAATGACTTATAAAAGTTAAATGAAGTATTAACAAAACATGAATATTTAGGGTTTCATTATTTACTTGATTTAAAAGTTCTTAATCATATATTTGAAGCTACCTTCACAAAGAGTTCAGATGTATTATATAACACTTGTCATCATCATAGAACATTTGTTAATTTATAGTTAATTTATTAAACTATTAACATTTGCTATGCAATGAATATATTGCACATGTCCTAATGCCTACTTTTAGCTCCACTTTCACATACGACTCCCTTTAACTTCCCTCTTGTATTTAGAAAATCACGTATGATATATAATACATACGACTCCCTTTGAAACCCCCGACACTCACTTTCAATAAGCAGGATCAGAATCTCTCCCACATCCACACTAGGAAGATGAGGCTAAAACATAATATCCAGTGCCCTAATAACATATCAGGGAGTGCACTTTTTCTTATATCAGAACATCTCCAACACCATGCTATGGATTGTGCAAATGCAAATGCTACAATAACTAAATTATAAATTCAATGCAATACACAATTAATGCATGAATTGCTTCTACATAGCTACATTGCTTGTATAACATCATACTCACTAAACTTTTTTTAATTCAAATTCTAACTTTAGAGAAGTATTCATATGAAAATTTTAAGATTTTTATATAACTAGTACAATTGCCAAAAAAAAAAAAGCCTCAATCAAATTATATATTTAGAAAATCACATAAAAAAACTAATGGGTAGAAATTGATTTCATACAGTCAAAATATTTAGGATAAAGCGTATAACACCATATCAAAAGTTATATGGTGAAATCATCATAAAATTTGAGAAAAAAATACATTTTTATCCATAACGTTTTATATAACCACTGAAATTAAAATTAAGGATGTGATTTCAAAGTCAAATTTTTTCTTGGCAATACCTTGAATAAGCTCAACAAACAAAACCTGAGCTTTGGCTATCAAATCCTCTCTATTTATTTCTCTCTCCTCTCTTCTCTTTCCCTTCTCTTCCTTTCTTCTCTAGCGAGGTTTGATTGAAATGAGGATTGCAAATGGTTTAAGATATTTTTTATATAAAAACATTCATTTTGACCCAATGTCATGACACTCGCTTTCCCAGCAAGATTGCACTCCTAGAAAAGGTTCCAGATTCCATTAGAATCTTTCCATTTGAGAGTTGGGCTCCACGACAGTGCCACTCAAAGCAACAATGCACATTCAAATTCATCTCATCATTTGAGAGCTCAATATTGTGTTGCCACTCAGCCTTGCACTATGTGTGAGACCTCGTTCCTTTACTGTTCCTCTCTGAATTGGATTTTCCTCCCAGGATCGTCCAGGACGATGTTGAGATCGTCCAGGCCGATCATTGCATTGAAAACAGCTGATTTCTGGAG